ATATTTTTTATTTATTTACAGATATTTCAAACATTGAGGAACAGCTCTGAAAACTGTATGAAGTCAGTTGAATAATGTCCATCAAGAATATAAGTTAAAAGTTTTAAATTTTCATTAATTATCACATTTTATATTCGTTTTGTTATAATTTTAACATGCTTGAGAGACTAATTAGCATTTGAGTGCAAATCGTTTCATATGTATTATTTATCTTTAAACGATACTCAGGTCAATACATGAGAAGCGCTGTTTTAAAGCAAAAGTCAAAAGTTTTAAAATATATTGAGTATGAATGTAATTTAAATTCCACACAAATGCTCAACAATCTTAAAAAGGTAAACAATATATTTAATGATTTCGAAAGCTGCTATGACTAAGCGTTGTTGGGTTCATTAAGTCCAAAAAAGAAATTTTTGTAAATGAATGATTTTAAAATTATATTTGATAATACTGTCAACTAGTCAACTAGTTTAATACCCTGTAAACTGCAGATATAATATAAGTACATACTTCATAACTGAGATGTTTGTTATGCATATAATCTCAACCCAACCAAGTTGTAATCAATATATTCATTTTCAGTCAATTTAGTACTAAAATCCATATAATATATCGCGATATATCTAAGTAATAATTGCGAGTGGGCGGCATAAACAAAAGCAGCGTAGGGCAATGCACAGATGTAGTGGGAAAGGTCGGCAACAACAGAGAATCTCCATTGAGATTTGGGGGATGAAACACTCAGCCGTAATTTCAAACATATGGTAAGGAGCTAACACGCACACACACAAGCAAACACACACACACACACACATATACACACACGAGCATGCACAGGGCGACATTTGGCATTTGGCAATGTGACAAGAAAAATCAAATGCAGAAAAACGCCTGTTAAAAGGTAAGCGGAAACGGAGCAGCAGGAAAGTTGACGTCGTTGACGAAACACACACAAAGATGTACATGCAAAGAAACATACATATGCATATATGTATGTAAGTTTGCGTGGACACGAAATCGGCAGCAATAAGAGTGCCAACGCAGAGCTGCAAAGGAAGGAAAATCAATAATACGGCGATTTCGGCTGTTGCCTTTTGGCTGCTGCTGCTCTGCTGCTGCTCTGCTACTGCTCTGCTACTGTTGTTGTTTGCCACCGAAATGTGTCACGGCGAGGGAGCATCGAAATTGGAGCAGCAATTTTTTTTAGGGGAATGTTAATAGAAAGCTATTAATAATTGGCTAACAAAATGGCAACTCACCTGTTTTAATAGGTTTTGTGAGAACTTGAGCTATTCGCTCGTTTGTTTCTTTATTTTGTATTCTCCTATTTTGGGTTTCTGCTTCAAGTTGAAGTTCACGTTGAAAAAAAAGTTAAGCTTATTAAGCTTTAAAATTCTGAAAATACTCCGCTGTGTGTGAGTGTGCGTAGGGAATGTGTGTGCAAGCGTAAAATACAAATACAWGTGCACGCACAACTCCAACTCCAACTCCAGCTCGATTACACAACAGCAGCGAAAAACTTCACGAGCCGAATCGAAGTTGAGCGAAGAGGCAATGCCGAAAAAGAGTCGAATGCTTTCATAAATACGAATATTTTACTTTTATCTTTGATTTGCTTAGCTCCCTTTTTTGTGGCCGTGTTCACACTTTTAATTAATATATATTTCGTTAAAAATCAGCACTTGGCGGAGTTTAACTGTTGTCGAGTATGTGTGTGTGTATGTCGGTCGGTCACAGCACAATCTCAAAGGCACACACAATTACATGCACAACATGTATACAACGAACGCACTACTCTGACGTTGCCCGCCGCTCGACAACAACGCAACGCAACAACTGCGATACGCGAGCGCGCACCATCAACTGAGCACAAGCCGAAAGACGAACGCCAAAAGTCCAGAGCCGAAAGCCGAAAGCAGAAAGCAGAAGCAGAAAACAAAACGTACCCGAAGTCGTGGCGTCGCCAATGAGTGTAGCTTGCTTACGTTTGGATATTGATGGCTTGAGAGAGTGGGCAGCGCAGTTGCGTTGAGCGTCGATTTGAAAAAGCTTTCGCGAACAGCTTCTTCAGCAGTTAATGGTAACGGTACAATACGTTAATGTTTCAAGCCCCAGCGGCAATGCAACTCAGTTTACGGTGCTGCCAACTGTTTTGTGAAACTTAAAAGCGCCAAATTTGTAAAAATTTTGAATTTTATTGACTTTCTAAATTTTTTAAACTAATCTTTAAACTTGATTGATTACTATTTGGGAAGCCAAACATCCTGTAATTCGTCTTTAATATCAATAATATCGCCCAAACGAACGGGACCTTTCGAAAAGGTATATATTATTAGAATTGAGACAACAAACTGAAAATTGTATCAATTCACCTTTGACTGCTTTGAGCAATTGCATGCGCGGAAATTTTAACAGCTCCACACGAACCTCCGTGAATAGACCCCTTGCCCCAACTCGACCCAAAACCTTTACAACCCGGGCCGGCGCGGTGGGCGGTTCCATAATTGATAAATTTATTTATATGTATACAATAAAATACACTGAACCATATAAAGACGTGATACTCTTTAATTGACTTTCTGAATATACATATAGGTACGTACATATATTTGGAAATAATTCTCTATGCTATAAGATTGACATATTTGTATACATCTTCCAGAGTGACTTAAAAGACCTGGCTATTTTCAATTTTAAGCAATTTGACGATGAAAACTAGTATATTTTTTATTTTTATCATAATACACGCTACAGACCTTAGAAGACTTGTGTACTTCTATTAAACTGTCTTTTATTTATTAACGTCAGTACAATATACACCGGTAGAATATAATAGGAATAATATTTATAAATACAAATATGCGAGCTCCCACAGTCCCCATAACAATCCACTTATATCCATAATTAGCTAATCACACTTTCAAACTTTCCCCGTAAGTTAACATCTCGCAGAATGGCAGCTAGTTCCTCGTCCTTCTGGGCGCGCATATCGTCAATGATGGATTCCTTGAAGCCCGCATCCTTGGCTGGATCTTGAGGCAGTTGCTGTTTTTGTTTCTCCAGCTGCAGCTGTGGCACTTCAACGCTGAGGGTGGCGCCAATGCGCTCCACACTACAGCGTCCGGCGATCTCCCCAATGCCAATCTGAGCCCAGCTATCGGTGCCAAACCAAATGGAGAGCGCTTCATTGTAGTCCGTAACATGTCCGCGAAACGGATTGATGGGACTGCCAAAGCCCAGATGACTAATAGTATCCCTGAGCACCTTGGATAGCTTGGGCAGCTTATGTGAATAGAACAAGACGGCGCCACCGATCAGGTGCGCCATGGAGCGCAGGCAGCGACACATGTGCTTCTTCAGGGCCGGCTCGAAGTCCATGAAGATATCGTACTTTCCGCCCACAAGGACAACGGGAAAGGGCAGCAGCTCCAGCGTGTTGAGATCCTGCTGAGCATGTTTCACGCGCTCCAAGGAGCGCCGCTCCAGATACTCACGCAGCTGTGGGGTCGCCTGCTGCAGCATCCGGCTAGCCGTGTCCCTCAATCCTCGATACGCGCACTCCAGATCCGCCCAGACGCGCTGCGGCTGGGACAGATCGATCATGATGAAGGCTGACATCTGTTGCAGTCCATGCGTGCGCATCGGCACCTCCAGCAGCTGCTCCGCATTGTCCAGGGAGCCCAGCTCCCAGACGTTTAACACCTGCGCATGCCGGCCGCTGCCCATGCGACGACCATAGCTGTACTCCAGCGCCATTGTTGGACGTGTCGTCTGCTCGTCCCGGTCGAAGAACCTATTTATAGCCATCGACTTGCCCTGCAACGAGTTTCCCATTGAGTCGATTCCCCCATAAAGCTGCCTTGGCCAGACTTACCACACACTTGCTGCCCAGCACGAACAGGGTGCGCTCCTTGGGCGCCGTGGTGCTAGCCTCCAGCTGACGCAGACGCTCCTGCTCCTCGGCCAGGCGTCCGGCTATCTCCTGTATGGTGCCCGTGGCACTTAAGCTGCTCGGATTGCTCTTGTCCAGCATGCTCCTCAATTTTCCATGAATCGTGTATAAAAACTGCGGCAAACGCATGACATAGGGCAACACTTTGTTTTGGCTTCCTCAAGTGTCGCCATGGCAATCTGCCAGAGTGGCCGAGTCCTGCAATCATAGGAGCTGTTCGGAACTGCAGGGCAATACTAAAAGCAACCAAATAGGGGTTAGAGTTAGAGCTAGAGTTAAAGTTAGAGTTAAAGCTAGAGTTATAGTTAGAGTTGGAGTTAGAGCTAGAGTTGGGAAATATAAATATATGTATACTATACAAAATGTATTTCATTTTGATAATGCCAAACGGCAAATAGATATGTGCCATCTGAACAGATATGGAAAACAAATAAGAAATAGCAATTTTGGGCACAATTTAAAAGCTTTATGAATATTAAAGCATTAAAATGTCAAATATGTATGCAATCTGATGAAGCATAGACACAATCCTTAATGGTTCGTGTCTAGAATACACGTGAAAGAGTATTGAGGATAAACTGCAGATAGGAATTCATAGAATTACGCACTGCTTATTTATAGATTTTATCTCTACAATTTTAGAGTCTATGTTTTTCTTAAATATCACTTTTGCTCCAATTTGTCGAATATTTCAGTTGAATGTTATTTTACATTGATAGGTGGCGCTTTTGCTGACATCTAAATGTAATCGTATATCTTGTTTCCTATTGTAGTATAAGCCGAAATTCTTTGTAAATTATAAAGCTAACTTTGGTCATTGCTTCAACGGTGTAATTAAAAAGCAAAATAATTTTTGTAGTCATAAAATATAATATTAATAAGTAAAATGGACAGATAAATAAAGAGTGCAACAAATAAATAGACGCATATATATTTGTATATCTGTATATACAAGCAGTTTAGCTGTTTCGCTTCCAACTGCTGCAACTAATTTGTATTTTTCTATGTTTTTTTTTCGAACAGTTCAGCTCGATGTCGAGTTTCAGTTTTTTCTATATTTTGTATTTCGCTGTTTTATTTCTATATTTTTTTTTCTATGTGCAATATTCTTTCTGCTATGTTTGTTTAATGTTCTATGTTCATGATTTCGATATTTCTATTTCTATGTGTTCTGCTTGCCATAAAATTGTAAATAAAACTGCTTAGTTATTTAGTGCTGCTACTTTACGCTAGATGGCGCTATTTCAAAGCAAATTTTTGCTTTGTGCAGCCAAGGATAAAATTTCCAAGAAAATATACCGAATAAAATAAAAGGAAATTTAAATTTTTTTATTTATTTATTGTTTTTATATTAAAAGACTTTTACATAAATCCAAAAATAATAAAATTTTATTATATATTCAAATTGAATTATTTTTTATTAGCTTTTATTATTTTATTATTTATGATATTAAATATTCGTATGCGTATATTTATCCCTACACGCTGGCTGTGCCAGACAAAGTCCCAGTTGGAAGTGGGCTCCGGCATTGTTACTTCTCTCTATTTGAGCTGCGTCGCTTCATCTGGCTTATTCGCTTTTGCTTTTAGTGCTGTGCAGCATGCCCGACCGGCGAGTCATCAAACATAATTACTTGCCCAGAGGCATGCAGCAATTGACATTTCGGTGGCAGTCCCGCCATCCAAAACTTGGCTACCGACTGCAGACCACGCCCCGTCGACGTTGCCATTGCCGTAGCTGCTCCCTCCACCCCGCTGGCCAATGGATTTGCCAGCAAACTCATTAGCCTTTGCTGCCGACTTTGAACTTTAAGGCGAACGAGCTCCATTATAGCCGAGGGCTCTAATTGATAATGAAATTCGTCCTTTAAGCTAAGCTACTGCACCTTGAAACGTCTGCTCTCATTCCCAGCACTGCACCCCACCCCACTCCCCACTCCCCAGCCTTGAGCCGTGCAGCCCCACTGATAACTGCTGGCAATGAACCCATATCCAAAATGGAGTTTGGTTTGCCTCTTGTTGCAACTTTCTCCAGCTTTGCGGTTTGCCATTGGAAAATTGTGTTTGTTTCTATACCCTGTCTATGCTCAGGAAGGGTATCTTATGTGGGCAGACTGTGCCCATAACATTAAAAATCTATCTAAGAAAATGATCTATTAAGTCATTCCGAACAACAACTCATACAGTCTTCATGAGGTCTCAAATCATCTATAAGACTGGAATCGAAACAGTTTAAATGATTATATATGATCAAACTCTGATATCTGATTCGTTCATGATTGTTCAGTTGTTCGATAAGTAGCATTTACTCATAAGTGTGGAACTAGTTCCAAATTAATTTTTAGCTTCAACATTCGAAAATTCTAATTCAACCTATAGCAAAAGCTAAATGGAACTAGTAATAAACTTAGAAATTATGAAAATCCAATTAATAATTTTATAAGTGGCTCTTGAAATCTGAGATTAACACCAGATCAAAACATAAAAGGGAAGCAACATTAATTCTCAGCTCATTTTCCATTTTCTATTTGTGGTAAGAAATAAAAATAAAAATAAAAAAATAAAACTAGATCTATAATTACATCGACTTACGCATTTTCCGTTTGTTTTAAGCTCACAAAAACTCCAACTGGAACCCGTTTAGAACTCACTCAGAATACAATCAAAATTACATTTCAATTCTTTCTATTTGTTATAAAAACGGGAACTGGAACTAGATAAGAACTTAAAAGTCACCTTAATCCATATGTTATGTGATGTGTGTAGGGTATATCCTAGTCGATGACCTTAATCCATATGTTATAACTGATGCGTATAGGGTATATCCTAGTCGATCAACTTATGGCTAACCACAGTCACAGTCCTTTTCCTTGGTCGAGCTGAATGCGCTCAAAAGCCATTCGATGGCTAGGCTATGTATGCATCGTCATCGGAGCGGTTCATTCGGTTCGCGTCTGCCTTTATTCGACTTGATATGCGTCCACTTACTTATGGTGATTTATCTAGGATAAAACTCATTTCTATGATAACTCAACTCTGGCTCAGCCTGGCCTGGCTCCGTCTGCTTCGCCTGCTCGGCCAGTTGCCCAATTCACTTTCACTGCACTCGGAGACTCATTCAGGCCACCCAATGTGTGGCTCACAAAAGCCGTAAGGATATTATTATTCAATTCGAAACTCAATGTTTATAAATCAATATTTTCAGATGGGTTTACTCTTAGATGTATGCAAACAGTTTGTGGGTCTGTAAATGAACCTAGATGGATTCTCCTATTGAGCCGTTGTTTTAGATTAGAATGGTATTATGTTAGTACGGTAATAATATCCATACTAATATAATACTAAGTGTTATGTAATGGAAAAACTAAGTTCCATTTTGTTTTTAAAGTAAGTCAAGTATACAGCAGAATATTGAAGATAGAACATGGAAGACGATCTGAGAGATAGGAGGACTCTAAGATGGAATGCACGACTTGAAAATAGCCTAAGTAATTTGGCAAGGGCATGACTGAGATACCCTAATTACTGTGGTACACGACTAGAAGAAACTCTGTGTATTATAGTAGGTACACGACTAGAAAATACTCTAACTAATTTGTCATGGATTCGTAGTGACCGATTTCGAAAATTTCAAGAATATCTTCATTTAAATATATTTAAGTACATGATATGTATGAGTAAATATATTGAGTCTGTTAAAGTAAAGTAAAATATTAAATGCATATATTATTTAATATGCATTTACTTATATTTAGTCAACTTTAGTGTCAGCAATTTAACGATGCTTTCATTGTTTTGGCTTGATCATCATTTGGATAAATTTTAGATGATAGTTCCAGGGACGCCACTTAATCCCATTTTTCGATATATCATATTTAGCATTAAGGCTAAAAAAAAAATATATATATATATATACGTATATTATCAATCTTAATAATCAATTTGAATTACCTGTCGAAGCATGACGAGAACCACCAACCGCTTTGCGCCAAAAGCGCGCAATTGTAGGGATAAACATCGTTATCATTGTCATAGGTAGAGAACGCTGAATTGACCTGGTGAGACATTTCATCTCTCAGGTTTCCATTATATTGGCCCAATGAAATAAGTCGAAAGTTGTCCTCTTCTCCGCCAATTCTGAAGTCCAGATAGTGTTTAAAGAGTGTATGATTTCTAACATCCTTCATAGATATGTAGAGCTCATGTGGCTGCGACTTTGTCAATAGGTAAAGCTTGTCCAGGCCGATGAAAAATTCACCATCCAATTGGCCGAAGCCCGATCGGTAGTCCGACATATTCCTGTTGAAGTCCACAGAGCCATCCAAGCGACGCTGAATAACTGTCCAATTCGAATCACAGGGCACCTTAAAGGGGCTCGAACCCTGCATTTTTAGTTCGTAAATCCCATTCGCTTGTCCAATGCAACTTGTGATTAAATTGACTTTGGTTTCTGCCTCATTTGCAGAAAGTCTTTTCTCAGGCACTGCATTATCTTCAGTTGAGGCTCCTATGATTTCCGAGCCGTTGTTCGATAAAAGTTGAACCTTATTGGCATCTGGAAGCTTATCAATCCACATTGGTTGGGAGCTCAGCAAGTCCTCCTTGGTCAAGCAATGTTTTTGATGCGCTTTGCTTTGTTCCAGTTGACTCTCTAGACGCTGTATCTCAGCCCTCAACTGCCTCTCTTTCTCGTCAGCCAATGCTGCAGAGAGGAGCAGGGGCTTCACAAGGCGGTAACAATAGGGGCCGCACTGAGCATCATTTTCCATTGAGCTAGAGTTTAACTGCAATATAGGGGATAGAGTATATATGAAGCTATGCTAGACCATGAGTTATTCACGTACAGCCAGCTCACTTATGATCCCTGGAAGGGATATAAGTCCAAGCAGAAATAGTCTTTGAATTAGGCACATTTCTTATGTAACGACAGCAATTTTGACACTGCCCTCTCCATAAATAATATGAACCTAAATTTGTATAGCCAAATGATGCTTAGCAATCGCTCGTCAGGCACTGCTCAAAGCTGAGCTGATTTGAATTATCGGCGCTCTTATCACTTTCTTGCTGTGCTTATTCTCTGTTCTTGATCTGAAAGTATTTGATTTCAGATTCCCCACAAGCAAGCACTTGGGCATCTGGAATATATTTCAATCGGGTATATTGGCTCTTAGCAAATGCCAAGTCAGAAGACCATATTTGTATATGCTATATATGTATATCCATGTTATCTATAAATGATTTTCCTGAGAGCATGTACTCATCCTTAGTTTATAGAGGACTTACAAAATATATTGCAATATTTTACAAAAAAAGAAGAAAAAAAAAACTGATTTGATTAATACTCCTGAATGAGTATTAGGCAGTCGGTTATGCCCGACTTCAATTTTAATAAATGTTTTCATTGAATTATTAACAGATAGTTGGAATAGGTCAAATGACCATGAAAGATTTCGATTCCTTCATTGTCGTTCCGTTTCGTTATAAATACAAGTTCGTTTTATACACTGGAACTGGAACTAGATCAAAATTAAAAATTAAAATATATTTTCAACTATTTATAAATAATTTTTAGAATTATTCTCGAATTGGATCTACTTAAACTTGACAGGCAAATTATTATATTATATTATTCATTTTAAATGATATCTTAATAGTGAAATTAAGGCAAAACTACTATGTATATATAAATGTGTATATAAATATACATATATTATATATAATATTCATTTTTCAGATTTAAAAATTCTCTGGTCTGCATTATCGAATGACTCATGAAGGAAATCGATTATTAGTTATTATTATTATTTGGCTTTAGTTTATTATCTAAGCGCAGATCAAATTGCGATACTGAAAGTTTTGAATAAATGCAACCATCATTTGGATGAGACTTTAAGGACAACATATCACGCCCAAGAGCCACACACACACACATCGACATCCTGTCGAATTGCCGACTTGGAAAAAGGATGTGCCGACATCATTTGTCATTTGTCAGGAAGGAAAACAAAGCTAAGAGCAAAGTTGGCATGCGGAAAAAAGTTTAAAGAAAAATAGCTGACAGTGCCGTCGGTACGTGCATAAGTTCAAGTTTTCGCATCGCATATTCTTCGTGTGCCTCTTCTTCTTCCAGTAGTTCCATTTCTGGCACTTGGAGGCGTCTCTTAATCTTTCGGCTATGTTTGGCCTGTGGAATTGCCCTGGCTTGACCTTCCAGCTCATTTCTATTAGCAGCGCGCATAACAGTTAACCAATCTTGATCTTGAGCACGGCACGGCACGGCACAAGCTTCATTGATTGATGACGTCAGCGCTGTTGTGTCGTTCGATGTCGCTCAATGTCGCTGTTCACACCTTGTTTCAACCTGTGCATGTGGCAAAAAACCTGAAGGGGAATGTCAACGTTAACCAAATTCGATGGGCTGTCATGGGCTAGGACATATGCCGGGAAYTGGGAACTGGGAGCTGGGAGCTGGGAGCTGAGAAGTGGGAGCTGTGAGTTTTTGCGCCAGTTTTCCCTCTCTGTCAGCTGCATTGAGCCAACTGCAGTTTTTGTGACTTGTGAAATTATCGAAATTGTATTATGGAAATTTTATGCAAACCAAATTTTTCTTTTTTTTTTTTAGAGCATTGCTTTTGTTGCTCGAAAATTAGTTTTTCAATTTGCCATCACATGCAAGCAGGCAGCAAATAAATAAATAAATAAATAATAAAAAAATAAAAAGTAGCCCAGTATGCTGGTCCTGGGCAAAGTTTTTGCTTTGTGCAGCAGCAGCAGCGACTCAAGGACGGAGACGTCTCGCATTGGATGCGGTTTCTTCCTCTAGCCAGCAGAGGAGCAAGTTATGTGCATATTTCTGATAGCTTCACCATTTTCAATATGCAGATTGATTTGTATTTGGTATTTGTATTTGTATTCGTATTTGTATTTGCATTTGTATTTGTATTGGGCTCTGCAAGAGCAACGACTTGGCGCGACGTAACTTTTCTGCGGAATTCTTAATTAAAAACAGGCCAGTGTCCCCGCAGAGCTATAGATAACCTAACATGGGCCCTGGCCAACCGGCCATTCGTCTAGCACTCGGCTCGCTTAATTTATAACCGGCGTTAGGTGCGAGGAATGCAGCCCGATCAACATGTTGCGCCCATAATGCTCCATGGTAACTAAACGGCACGTAATTGCAACTGCAGGCCGACCTCGTTGCAGCTCATTGTGGACCGCTGCGGGTCGTGACCCCAGGCGGTGGGCAGGATGCCGGGGCGAATTGTGGGCTCATTCCGGACTGAGCGGAATAAGGGGCAAGTCCACAGCTCAGTGGGCCGCAGACTGCGTGGACAAAAGTTGTGACATAAATTCAGGAAACGTAACGATTATAATTTTGTGTAGAAAAATTAATAAAATAAGTTATTTACAAAATTTTTGTAAATTTTTTACATGATAAAAATAAAAAGTAAAAGCAACATCAATTTGCATTAAATCATGACTTTAACATCCCTCTTGTTCCTCTCTCTCTCTATCTTTATCTAGCTCTCTCTCCCTCTGTCACTGTCATTCCATCTGCTTCGCTTCCTGTCTCTCCCTCTCCCTCTCTCTCTATCTTCTATCTCACTCTCTTCCTCTGTATCCCTCTCTTAGGACAGGGATGTCTCTCTATTTCCCTCTTTCTATCTCTGTCCTAACGCTCCCTTTTACTTTATCTCTCACTCTTTTTCTCTCTCTCTCTCTCTTGCAGTCCCTGCTCTAACTTAACCTCTCACTCTCTGCTTCATCTATTCCTATATCGTTATATCTCTCTCTCACTTTCTTCTATCTCTCTCACCCTCTTTCTCTCCTTCAACCACTCCCTCTTCTATCTCTTCTCGCTATCTATCACTATGACTCTCTTTCTGTATCTTGCACTCCCACTCTCTGCTCCATCTACTTCTTCCTCATGATTTTTCTCTCACTCTCTCTCTCTCTCTCTCTCTCCATTAGCTATCTTCGTATCTAAATCGTTTTATTGTTTTTCATGTTAGCATAAGCTATTGAAGTATATTTCATGCTGTAAAGCAAAAACTGCTCGACTTGCTGAAAATTTCCCTACCTATTTTTTTTTTTTTTTTCAAGTGAACTACAGTTATCCACATGTTTTCGGACATAAATCTGCAATTACCAACTCAGGCGGCGCTGGGATGGGGATTTCCCACAGCAGTTGCTGTTCCCAGTCCTTGCCAGTCCAGGGCATTGCCGCCGAATTGTCGAGGCGAGTCCACAAACTAGAGTTGGAGCATTGTTTTTAATGTCTTTTAGTGTTTTTTATACCCTGAACCCATTTTCAATGGGAAATCAGGGTATAATGGTTTTGTTGAAATGTATGTAACAGGCAGAAGGAGGCGTGGCAGACCCCACAAAGTATATATATTCTTGATCAGGGCGACGAGCTGAGTTGATTTGGCCCTGTCCGTCTGTCTGTCCGTCTGTCCGTCTGTCCGTCCGTCCGTCTGTCCGTCTGTCCGTCTGTCCGTATGTATGAACGCGTCGATTTCAGAAGATATAAGAGCTAGAGACTTCAAATTTTTTTTAAAATGTCCGTAATTACAGCGCGCATATCAAGTTTATCATTAAAAATCGATAACTCATCCCGATCTTTTTTTATCGATAAAAAACCTTATCGAAAACCAGTTATAAAATTATATCTTCTACACCTTTATTGCTAGAGTCTCCAAATTTTTAATGTATGCTTATATGCAATTTATACAATTTCGGTTTTTGTTAAAATTTACCCCCCACCCTTAAATTCACCCCCTCACCCTCACTTTTGTAAAAAGCGTATTTCAAATACTAGAGACTTGTGCTTTGGCAATTACATGCATATCCATGTTATAATCATAATCTGAAAGTTTCATGAAGATCGTACGTCCATAAAAAAAGTTATTAAACAATTAAGTTCTCATAGTAAGCGCACACTGCAGCCCATGCGTGTTTATGCGTGGGTGCTTGTGTGTGTATGTGTTTGTGTATGTGTGTGT